TAATCTGCAGATATTCATGTTCAGATCGTTTACATGTTAGTATATTCTATAACAATTTTTCCTGTTCAAGTACCTGGCCTCCAAATATTTTCTGCGGATGTTTGTGTATTCTTTCAATAGCTTAACAATGATTAACTTGGGAGGAACTCCTCCGATTCTCTCTTAAAATGTTCATTACTAATGCTTTCTTTATAGTCATTTTAACTGGTCGCAGACATAAACACAAAAGCTTGGGGAATGTTTTTATTTTCGTCCTCACATGGCAATGCGTATAGATATATAGGGTTCTTGGGTTGATTAGAGAGACATTTATTCTTATTATTTTGATTCAAATCTAAGTGATCAAGCTAATGGATATCGAGCTGTACGATACAAGTGACCTACGTAGGCTAGTCTTGATGCTACTGTAACATAAGTTTTGCATAGACCTATCTCATAACAATTTATTTAGCCAATTGACAAAAGGAGTAAATCAAGGTAGCAAAGTAAAGTTCTAAAATCAAAATCCATGTGTATTTCTCTCTTATAATACTTCGTTTGAGTGTTCTCTATACATTTTTCATGCAACAGAACTCAAAGTAACTATAATATAACATACTTAGTATTTTGAGGGCCTCTCTTGATTGTGATTTCATACATAACTACAACTACTTCAACTTTGCCAATATCTTTGATTTCAGTTTGCTCTGCTAATTCATCTGGCTCTTCGACATCCTCTGTGTTAATAGTATTAACTTGTTCAATCTGCCATGTTGAATTGGGAGGAAAGATAGTGTCCCAGTCGTGATCACATATCTCACTCACTGCAGCAAAATCCAAATCTTCTTTCAGTTGCTGCTTCATGATCCTCTCAATAACTATGGTATCTGAAACAGCTAAATTGTATACATCTGCATAGTCATACCAATGTCCTTTAAGAAAGTAGAGATCTTCATTTTGACGAAAAAGTAACATGTCCCATTCTTGTCCTTGATGATCAACTAAAATTACATCTTTTGCTTCACCGAGAGCAGGTGCAGAAATATGAGGAAGGAGTTTATCTCTGACTTCTTTCCCTGAGAGGCGGGAGCTGTAAGCCATTGGCACTACTGGTAAGGTCAGCTTGTCAACGTACTAACACGATCAGTTTTGTCTCTGCATGAATAACAGAACAATAAATCATTGTCAAGAATCAAACAAGAAATACATTTTTATTGTTGGAATGTATGCGTCCACGAATATCGATGGGACCAGGTCCTCAACACAGTTACAAAACAGACAGTAAAATAAATACTGAAAGTAAAATTGCACAAATAACTTTACGTGGAAACCTCCTTGTTCAAGGGAGTAAAACCACGACCTGGCCTGCCAGGACTTTTCAAACTGCTTCCACTAATCTTCTCAAAGCAAAAGTAAAAGTCAGTTTACAAAATGAGTTTAACCTACTAATCTTCACACTAAGCAATATATCCTATTACTTAGACGAGCCTAAGCTGATACAACACTGCCCACTAAGCTATCACCCCTAGATAACTTAGACTTTGCTAAGCGGATACCACACCGCCCACTGAATCAACTAGCTCCTAGATGACTTAGACTTTGACTGAGCAGATACAACATTGCTCACTAAATCGGCCAACTCTAACCGACTTAGACCTTTCCACACAGAAACAAATATCTGAATCCTTTATAGACTAGGAACAGATTTACAATATACGCATGGAAGTATAACTCCTAAGACACACTCAGATGCTTGCAGCTTGATCAGGTCCTTGTTGTGCTTGCTGGAGAATACTTCACCAAAATGGTCTTTGCTTGTATCCTTGAGAAGTTGCAAAAACCTATAAAATGATAGACACAAAACTCAAACTCAACAAAGATGCTTCAACACTTTATAAGATCCTTTTGTTGAGTGTGAGTATTGTTCTACCTTGGAGATGGTTTTTTCCTTTTAAGCTTGTGAGTTTTTGTTTGCTAAAATCTTGAGTTTGTGTTTTGTGTTGAGAGATTATATCAAAATGAATACAAACTCCTTGGGACCGCCCATTGGCTGAGAGCCTGCCTCTCTGGAAGGACGTGAACCTACCACATCAGAAGTGACAGCTTTTCTGACAGCTGTCTTGTCGTCCTTTCACATCGTAGTCTTGCAGGGACCAGGTCCCTTGCAAACTTCTCTTAGTAAGTTCTTGAGAATACGTGTTGGCTTTCTCCTTTTGAATGAATGAATTAGTTTGTTGTTTTTCCTTGGATATATTTAGACATGAAAAGTCATTATCCAATGAACAAGCAACCTCGTCGCTTCTGATTGGTGGAGTACTCTGCAGCTTCACCAACTTTCTGACGCAGACAACTTTCCAGCTGTACAACACTTTGACCACTGGACGAGTATTCATACTCTGCAGAGGACCATGTCCCTGCATAACTCCTCATGTGAGTGAACAAACATTTATTCAATACCTGGTGTTCCCCTTAATTAGTGTCCATGCACTTGTGAGGAGATCGTCAAAACATATAGGAACATAAGCACTTATCATTGATTAATTAACATTAATATATATCAGAATTGGTGAGTTGATCACTCTTTTCATTCAGTATATCTGTAGTCCTATCCTCTGAGTCCAGTACTATACCATCACTTTCTTCATCACATTCTTGATGAATCCACCTGTGGAAAATACAATGTACCAAAAAAAGCATGCACCATTATGTTTATTCATTATTAAACGTAACAGGGTCTTTAACTGATCATTGGAAAATTAACATAATAGAAATGGAGTGACGTACGTACTTAGCTTGCAGTCATTGATGTGAAGAGAAACAGTTCTTGACATACTGTTGTCTTCTTGATCTTCAATTACCTCTGTTTTTTTGGGCGCCATTGCATCCCTTTCTCTATGGACTTGTTGCCTTGAAGATTCTTGTTTCCCAGCTTCAAGATTCGACTTAGCGGCCACCACAATATATAAGTAGCCGAATTGTCTCCAAGTGCCAACTAGCCAGTGAATTTTTAATAGTTTTGGCTATTTTATAATCAGGTAACTTTTTATGTGATATTTATAGCATATGTGGCACAAGGTAAGTAAAATGTTAAAAATTAGACATGTTGAACCTAGCCAATAATTTAGTTACTGGTACTACATTATCTGCCAGGTCCATCTGCTCGAGGGCTCGCTTGTGGATAATATTTGTCTAGCTGCATGGATCAATCAACACACGTCTAACATTAAAGTCTGCAATATTTAAAGATATTACCAGAGCGCTGTTATGAGTAGTCCAGTTCTTGTTCATAAAAAATAATTGCCTCAACATTAGAATTACGACATTGGCGTTTTTCGTTGTTGATATTCTTATTCCGCTGATCTCCTCTCCTCCGATCATCATATTTACCTCTTTCCAGGAGGATCAGCTCGGTGGAGCAGAATAGGCTTCTCATACACTCATCATTCTCTTATGCAATCTGTAATAGTCGTCATCCTCTGTCCTGGCTATGGATTCATATTGCTGAAACACTTCATCCCAAGTTTTGACCTCGACGTTCATCAAGCTTTCTTTCAGACGTGAATAAACGAACAAGCTCCTTGGATTCAATGCCCTTTATGAAACCTCAGGGACCCGATCATCCGGGACCCCTGGGCAATGCACTTTTTTTATTCCTAGAATCTCATGATGAAGTCCCTGAGTGGCATAGATTCACCTTGCTTGATTCCAAAGATACCCATTAGCCTCGATCGCGAGAACGATCCGGGAACTTCAAACTAGTGAGAAAATAAGGTTCAGTGAGTTAAACCAGCACACAGTTGTCCTGGTGCCACGTTGGGCACCAAACTATTTATCACAAAAATGATACAGTTAAATTTAAATGAGGTCAAGGACATGCGTCCTACATTAACCCTTTAGATCATGTTATTAACAATTGAATATTGTAAGATTAGTTATTAAAAAGTAAATGAAACGAGCAAGAAAGTAGAGCGAATAAAGCTTCTTCAAGCTTATTTTTTGTTGTATGTTACATATCTGGAGACGTAAGTCTTAGCTCCGGTGACGTTTATGAACGAATGAATATACTTAAACGATAAAGATTGAGTAAAGCAAACTTGGAACTCAGTATTGTTGTTGCATTACTAAAATTCGGAGTCCCTATACAAATGGACGAAGTAAACTATTAGGTTACAAGGGTGAGGTTTCCCCAATAAGAAAGCTCCACTTGAGCCCGAAAGTACTAAAATCAATAGGTTCGGGCCGTGTGGTGAAGAGTGATGCCAACCAATATTCCTGATTTGCTTAGGTGAATCTATACAACGACCCCGCATATCAGTCCTTTTTTGTCTCTTTGTTCACATCAGTGGGACACAGGTCCCCCTCTTCAGGTCAGGCATCCTTTGCCTGTTCCTGGTTAGCATTGTTATCTCTTCATTTGGGATACTCTCTCAGAAAACTGATCTCACCGGTGCCTTGCCCCTTTCGTACCTTTTAGCCACGCATCCTCTGCTCCGCCTGCTTTTAACTGTTCTAAGAAAGTATAGAGCTTTGATAGACAAGTGGAATCTACCCTCTCCCAAATCCATATAATTTTTTTTACTAATCTCCCAAAAGTGAAAGTACTGATGCTGTGTGAAAGAAAAAGAAATGTACAAACAGCAGAAGAGTGAAACTTTTTCCTCCTTCATATAAACAGATGTGACCACAAAAACAGTATCATATAGTGATATTCAGAATCTCATTTTAGCCAAAGGTTAGGCAAAGGGGGAACATATCAATCAATCAAGCATGCCTAGAGGACATTCAACACAACAATTTATAAAGAAGATTTATCAACATTCACCTCTTCTTCCCAACAATATATCACAAGTATCATGGATAATGAGATAGGATTTGATTAATTGTTGTACCATAGCTACATAACTAAAGAACTACAACAAAAAATATTTACTTGTTAAGTAGTCTAATTTCTTGGAAAACATATTATAGTAATATTACTACAAGCATGAGTATCTTTTAATTACTCAATATAAAAGCATATACTAAAATCTATCTCCACAATGGACCTTGTTTTTCTTGGTGACATGATGTAACCATCCAAACCCTTTAATTGCTTTGGAAATCTTAACAAGATTAGGCTTTCCCATTCCTAAATTAATCTTTCCAGCTGAGAACTTGAGAGCATGTAAGCAACATAACTGTTGTTCATTCATATCTTCTTCTTCTTCTTCGCCTTCGTCTTCTTCATACTTTTTGTAGCTTTTGGATTTGGATTTGGATTTGGATGTGGATTCTCCTTTCTTCTTCTTCTTTGTAGTGTTATCCCTTTTGAGTTTGCTCTTTCCAGAGTCTAATTCATAAGTTTCCCATAACAAATCCATTCCTTCATCACTACTAGCATTGTGCCTTTCTTCATAAAGTTTACATGCTAATGTCCTTGTCCACTCTTTTTCTTTCCTCATAGATCCATAACTCCCTAAATTCTGGTCAAGATTACTCCAAGAATGTGCCTTTTTATCTTTATCCACCTCCTTGGATCCATTTCCCATCATCATTTCTCCTTTTTCAACAACTTTCTCGACCTTCGTGCCCATTTCCTCAATTTTCTTCCTTTCCACATTATCAGCACAATTCTTGCTTTCAAACTCATCCATTTCCACTACAACCCCTGAATTTTCAAGATCATCTGTGGCAGTGGCAATGGCAGAGTCTTTTTCTTGAACTGAAGAATCAAGAAGTGATTTTTCACTTTCTTCAGGGGATGTATAGTGAAAAAACTCAATTGGGTTTACTTGAAACACAATCTTGTAAACTTCAAAATCCTCAAAACGATCAAACTCCTCAATTTCAGCATCAGCTTCCAGTAGAGCATTCTTGAAAGATAGCAGAATAGTACTAACATTGTCTGAGTCAGGGGAAGATATGAAAAAAGCAGGGGAGATGGTGTTGTTGACAAGTGCAAGGAGTAAAAGGGAAATGGTGATGAAGAGAGGGGAGAGAAATGAGATGATTTTAACAAGGTAAGGATAGAAGAAGATGAAGTAAGAGAAGTAAAGAGGGTGAGAGAGAATGAAGTAAGAGAAGAGAGTTAACTCAGAAATGAAGAGATTGAGTAATTGACTAGTGTTTGAGAAGCAGAGAAGATGATGATCCATTTTCTTCTCCATAGATTGATTAATGGAGAAGTGAATTATGGAAGAAATGGGGAAGAAGAGAAGAATCTCTCAGAGAGAAAGAAAAAGTTTGTCTGATTGTAAATGCGGCGTTGATGTAGGAAATAGAATGTATACTCTCTTTTATCACCTCTCTTTGGGTTTAGCCGTGTGGAGAGGGCTGTGCGAATTCTTTTTTGTTTCCACCCCGTGTGCGGTGACTCCGTATTTAGGAGAGTCGAACTCGGTAACTCCATATTCAGGGAACTCAAACCTGAGAACTCTTAATCGTGAGAACTAATCAAGAAAGAGAGTAAATTCACTATTCACTAACTATAAATTAGTGCAGCCTGTATTTTGTTTCGTTAGTTTCAATTTATTTGTTATATATTACTTTTCTTACTTTACAGTGCGTTAAAAAAATCGTTCTTTTTAAGTAGCTATGTAATTTCAATTTCTTACATTTCATGTTACAATAAGATAAAATAATATTTTGATATATTTTATATGTCTTAGTTCTAAGATCAGTTAGAAATCTTTAAAAATTCTTTTTTATTTTCTTAAATTTCATGTTAAGTCAAAATTATATAAATAAATTAAAATAGATGGAGTAAATAAAAATGGAATGAAAAGATATGACACATGAATCTAAGTTAACCCCAAAAGCAGCTAATGAGGGAAGGTTTGTTTTAAGTCCATATAAAAAAACCAAATTCTCATCACTCTACCGACGTGGGACATCTTAACATGGAAGACACATACATTACCTTTCTGTAAACTTTTTTCATTACATTTATTTGGTATCATTTTAATATTTTTGATAATCACTCAACTATCAACTATTTTCACATAAAGTTACTCAACTTTCATTTTCAACTCAAAAGTCATTCAACTATGACATTTTTGCACAAAAGTCATAGTTAAATGACTTTTGAGTTGAAAATGAAAATTAAGTGGCTTTATGTGAAAATAATTGATAGTTGAGTGACCATCAAAGATATTAGCTCCTGAATCTACTGATCCAATTAAAATAAGAAAGGATTGCTTGGATGATAAGTTTCTTTCACCTCCAACTCTAAAATTGTTAGTTTAAGTAATCAAAAAAGGTGAGTGCTCAATGAATTGACCTGGTTATGATAAAAGAAATTAAAGAGTCAAACACAACATGTGATTTGGACTAAATAATGAATAAAAATTCAACCAAAAATCTTACTACAATGAGGGTAAGATGTTAATGGAATTTTCGAGTGATCTTGTACAGTGTGAAATGGTATGAGCATCTAATTCAAATCATTGAAACAGAGAAGTTGTTCAAAACACTCATAAGCTCCTTTGAAACACTCATAAGCTCCTTCGAATGTCGTTGAATATTTTTTTATATCACGTTACATAAATTCATTAATTTGAACTTGGTAACAATGAAATTCTAATTCTGATTAACCATTCTACTTAATTTGGGGACAAATTAAGTTGACATTTTTTTAGAAATAAAAATGAAATCTGAAATACGCAAGTGACGATATTCAAAGTATTCCACTAGTAATATTGACATCACATCAGTAAACACCAATTTATTTTACATGATTAGCTAACTTTATGAATGATTTTGTACCATCTTATTAATATAAAAATTGATGTACAAAACACTAGTGAATCAGGAGTCCGTTTGAATTGACTTAAAAAAGTAGTTTTTAAGTCAAAAATAAAAAGTTAAATTGAAATGACTTTTAAGTCAAAAAATAAAAAGTAGGGAGACCTACTTTAAGTCATTTTAAATTTATTTTAAGTCATTTTAAATTTATTTTAATACATTTTTGATCTTGTCAAACACTTCCTAACATATTTTAAGTTATTTTTTTTATATTTGTCAAACACTTTCAAAAGTTAAAAATTGATTTAAAAATAGGTTTGACCAACTTTTAAGTCAATCCAAACCCCTCTAAATCTTCTCCAATTAAGTTCTTCAGTTTATAGTTTATAATTTGATCAATTTATTCGTTTTGCTACACTTGTTGAAGAAACTATATATAGACTTTCAAGGGAATTCCAATTAATGCCTTGCTCTTTTTAGCATCAAGTTGTCAATTTATATTACATGCCCCTTCTTGTACCACCATTAAACAGTTTGTTAATAAGAGCTGTGAGCTTGAAGTAATATTAAGTATTTTTTTTTAAAAAAAAGAAGAAGATAGAAATGATGCATGTATTCTCCAATACCCGCACGTTACAATTGTATATTGCAAAACAATTATGAGATACCAAATAATGACAAAATTGACTAATCTACTATGTATATTACTATAAAATATATGAAAACAAAATCCATAATATAATAAAATATATGCACGCTTGTTCTTACATTACATAAAGTTTCTGATTGTCTCTAACTTTTGACCTCTCCCTTTACTTCTGACACAAAACGATAAAACATAAAAAAAAAGAAGATAAAAATAGTTAGGAAAACTTTCTATTTTGTCTTTCAATATAGAACCGCATCTGGAAAGTGTTCAAGAATGACAAAAGTCTCATATCGGTGATTAATGAGATGAGTAGAGTTCTTATAAGGCTTGGGCAATCCTCCTCCCTTTAAGCTAGCTTTTGGGGTGTGAGTTAGACATAAGATCTAATTTAACATGGTATCAAAGCAGGGCCCATCTCACCCAATGTTGGGGCCCCCCAAAAATCAAATTGCCACTCATCTGAGGTTTGGACAATCCTCCTCCCTTTGAGCTAGCTTTTGGAGTGTGAGTAGGCCTAAGACCTAATTTAACACAAAGTAGTACGTTGTAGAAAATTTAGAGAGCAGAAAGCATTATTAAGAAAGAACATTATAGTGGTTAGGGGCGTACATAGGTTGATTTGATTTGGTTTTTCATTAAAAAAAAATCTAAATCAATTATGTCGGTTTATTAAATCTAAAAACCAAATCAAACCACACAAAGTGGATTTTTTCGGTTTCGGCTTTAGTCGATTCTTTTGATTTATTTTTTTTCGGTTTTTTACAATTGTACGGTGTTTGAAAAAGAGATCAAATATATTTTCACTTACCTGTGTGATAAGCTAAACTTAAAAAATGTTAAATAAATAGATTTTTTTGAAAAGACGGTAAAATTCACATGAGTACAATTTTTTTTTTTTTGAAATATCAACGCTCATTATGTTAAATTAAAGGCTACATACAAGCTGAATACAAAACAAAATATTTACAAAGTAAATTGTTAACTTTGAATTTGAAAAATTATAACATATATTGTAACTTCGGATCTTAATACAAAATAAAATATTTACAAATTTTACAAGCCCAAATTTGAAATAATATATATAAACATTGAAAACTATAAATTAACTAAAAATATATTAACAAATAGATAATAAATAATATTTTTATCTATAAATAAAATAAAATTATATATATATTTGCAAAAATTTTCAAACCCAAATTTGAAATAAAATATATAAACATTGAAAACTATAAACTAACTAAAAATATATTAACAAGGTAGATTATAAATAATATTTTTTTATCTATCAATAAAAAAAATAAAAAAAAATAAAATAAAATAATATATATATATATATATATATATATATATATATATATATATATATATATTATGTCGGTTTGGTTTGGGTTCGGTTTGACTTTTTTTCTTTTAATACCAAACCAAACCAAGAGTGGTCAGTTTTTTTTTCAACCACCAAATCAAACCACAAATCGATTTTTTTTCCAATTTGATTTAGTTCGTCAATTCGATTTGACTTTACGATTTGACTTGTACACCCCGGTACCAATCAAGCAAGTAATTTCCACGATCATAAATGAGTTATAATCAAGTAGTTGGTGAAAAGAAATGAAAGGTTAGAGAAAATTTTGTGAAAGTGAAACGTCTTTAAGTCTATCTAATAAGTTAATATCATGATTTACACAGTCGGCAAGCTCTTAAACAATCATGCAATTATAGTCGTCAGTTAGTTTAGGAAAAGAAAAACTGACTTTCCTTTTTTTGTTTTGAAACAAATACTTCATTCGTTTCAATTTATTTGATTTATTTTGATTTGACATTAAATTTTTTTTTTTAAAGAAATTTTTTGAATCTTCTGATCTTAAATTAAAAATATATCAAATGTACTAAATTTTTAATTATATAGTAAAAATTGTTAAAAGTGGAAATATCATGTTTTCTTATACGAATTAAAAAAAATAGATCAAATAAATTGAACAAGGTATATAAGATGAAATAAAGTGATTAATTGTTGAAGGAGGTTGATTGAAGTGGGAAAAAGATGTGATGGGGGGGAGTTAGTTAGAGGAAGTTCACATGGGATACCTACTCAATACTTTTCTATAGCAAGGGGTCCCTTTGCCCTTTCTACTTGTCACCTTTTTTCATGTCAAAAAAGTGATGTCTGTTGTTACCATTTTAATTATTAACTAAATGGGTATCCAAATGAGTAACTTCCACCATAATATTGTATTACAAGTTAGTTTCTGTAATCAAATAATAAAAAAAGCTAATTAGAGAAGTATTTGAAAATATTTTTGAATTTGACGTAAATTATTAGTATTGTATCTGAACTATTGATAGTTTTAAAAACACTCATTTATTTGATTAACTAAAACTTAGATACACCTCTAATATGCAACATGACATAGGAAGTGATCTCAAACTCTTGTAGAAGTATGAGACTCTTATTAAAAGAACTGAGAGAAGTGTTGAAAACACCCCTAAACTTGACGAAAATTTAAGAGTGTATTTACTTATGTTGTAAGATCAAGAGTGAATTTAAGTTCAATTAGTCAAGTAAATGATGTTTTTAAGACTGTCAATAGTTTGAGGATGAAACTAATAACTCACACCAAATTTAGGGGAATTTTCAACACTTCTCTCTTCCATAAACTCATATACTAGCATACATCCGCCGTTGATGAAGTATCTCTTTCATTTCGGAAATTATATATAAAATACAAAATACGGAGAACTGAAGAATTTTTTAAGTGACTCATAAGTTTCATT